GGGAAAATTTGATTTGGGTCACGACCAATTCGGGTCGCGACCAGAGTCGCGGAACGAATTAAGTTCGTGAACCGAGGTACCACTGTACAGCCTTTGGTCTTAAGCACCTAGATAATCTTAGAGGATACATTCTATGTTATTGTATACTATCAGAGTAATTTACATATATCACTCCATTCTGAAATATGCTGGACATATTTTGCCAGTTCTGGAAGGCAGCTTCTTTAATTACCACCAAAAACAGGACAGAGTTTCTGGTTCTCTTTGCATTTTGGAGATTCTTGTGTTATCCCTGCAAAAAAAATATAGCTTTTGTATGCTTTCCTCTAATAGAGGAAAAGGTACCTCAGTTTTTCAGGAGAAGCAAATTTCAAGAAGCTCCAAATGCTGAAAAAAATAAAGTTCAGGGGCAAAAAGCAGACTGCATGATGAGCTGCAGATAAAGTCTGCAAGCCAGATTTTGCCAATGGTCCATTATATGGATCATATTATTGGTGAAAGCCAATTAACTTACATGGTTCAGAGGCCTGAGAAACTTTCAGCAATTGTGGGGAGGGGGAACAGCACAAGAATAATTATGGTTTTGAATTTAATCGTATGAATTTAGGCTTTGCTTCGACTGGTCTATATTAAGCTACATTCTGCATGAGAGTGGTGAACTTAACAAATGTAAAATTCTGTTTTGAAACTGGATTTTTTTTTAAGAAAATAGTATTTTATTGGAAGGACACCATCTTACACAAATGACATGATAAACAATTAATTGGGAGTAGCATTTGTAACCCAATCATGCTCTTCTATAATGATCTAGCAACATCGTAATTTGTGATTTAATATTAAACAATCCCTGGGATATTGTTAATATTCTCTGTACACCAAACATAATGGACTTAGTCTGATCTAGTCATATACTCAACTATAAAACACAATACACAGAAGTATTTTAATATTTTAGCAATTTATTTCAGTATTTTGTACAGCTTGAAATTGGTCTTCAGGTAATAAGTTATAAGAATTCTATGTACATAGGTTAATTAATAATTCCTTGGGACAGATGGGAACAATTTGCAAAAATGTTATCCTATATAAACAGGGAAGAAGAAACTTCTAAGAACATGCAAAACTCAAGGATTTGGGAATGGGACATCCAGAGAACTAAACCACCTCCAGAAGGGCATGGTCTGGAAGGGAATAGATCATTCTGGCATTCTCCAGAATATGCCATTTCCAAATTGGTGAGTTTTGCACATCCCTAAAACCTTAGAAAATTTCTTACTACTATTCTTAGGACCAGTATTTTATATATGATAGATTATTCTCTTCTTTGAATCTAAGAACAGAGAAAAATCTATCCAAGATTGCACAGAGACTGTTAACTTAAGGAAAGTTTTACTTTTATATCAGCCCATGCCATAGAGTCTTACTTACCGTAGTGATGCATTTTATAGCACTGTATAAATACACTGTTTCTGGAAATCTCATATTATTCCCACTTCATTCATGATTTCTTAGTACCAGACGGTGAAAGGCATTTCATTAGCCTTGTTCTGACTTTGCTGTAGAAACATACCAGGAATGAACTTGTTCTATTCAGTGACATACTACATATATAGAACAAACATTTTAAAAACATTAATCCACACATGCAGCCTTCAAACACAGCTTAGTGGTATCTGAGCATGAAAGGATAAATCCAGGAAAGAGCCAAACGCAAACAGTTCAGAACATGCAAACACTGAATTCTCTTAGTAAAGTCATTCTCCTTTTAAAATTTCCTTCTGCCTCTCTTAATTGTCAGTAGCTTATGAAGATGGGGAGCCTCTTCTTATTTAGCCTCATGCTATCACCATCACTATCTTGTGCCCTCATAAAAAAATGCTGATAGAAAAGAGACAAATAATAATTCCAGAACAAATAACCAACTATTACTTCCTTTTGCAGCAGAGCTTTATTTGTCAAGATGAAGGACAGGTAGCAAGCTGGTTAAGCCAACAAGAACAGATGCTGGAAAACATAAACATGATGTCGATAGCTACTGCCAAGTACTGGGGATCAGTGGCACTAAGATGCTGGCTTAAGTATTACCATTCTGAACATTTTGTAAAGTAAAAGCATACTTTCTAGCCATAGGCTAGAAGTCTATTAAAAATATATATAAAACTTGTATTTAGCAGCACCCATAGAACTGAACCAGCCTTTCCCGGCTTGAACAAAAATAAAAATATCTTAAAATAATGTTTCTTTTTTACATATCTAAGGAATTATCTGATGTCTGCAAGACTGCATATTTCAGATTATGTAGAAAATAATGTAAACAATATTTATTTCCTCCCAAATGACACAATTCTATGCATACCTGGAAAATTTTTGTTGAATATGTGATATACTTTTGAAAGAAATATGCATAGGATTGCACTGAAAGTGTTTTATCAATACCCTTAAATAAATAGATTTATAAAGTAGAACAAAATAACACTTAGTACCAACGGCTGGCCTGTGGAATTATAAAGTTAAAAGATACAAATTGCGTAGCCAATGGGTACCAGAGAATGCCAAAGATCTAGTATAATCTGGGGGAAAACTGCTGTGAGAAAGGACAGCCATTCTATCATCCACAAGTACTTTCACTGCATAGAACTAATTAACTTTGCACAAAATCTTTTCAGCCTCTATAGTAAATTTTAACAAAATTAAACCCACCAATACTGAAACTTGGGTACCAGGGATGGAATTCCTGTTTAAATTTCAGTTTATTTAAGGATTTGAATACTTTAAAATAACTATTCAATTATATTTTAAAATGACAGCTATCTGGAAACAGTTTGGAAACCTAATTTTTCAAAATACATTAGAAATGAATTTTACCCTTCCACACATATTCTATTTATCAATCTCAACCATTATATAATAAGCATACATTGCTCCTTTTGCCCAAAGAGATGCTGCACAACAAAACAGAAATGCACTTGTATATATTTTGTCCAATTCCTAGACAAAGATTGATATTTGACATGTAGTGGTTTTTCCATTTAAGAAATTACATACCGCTTAGCAAACCTTTCTTTCATTCCAATTTTTACAGTTTCTGTACAATTTTTAAAATATACTTCAGTATAGCTGCACAGTATAACTCTGGAAAACTGATCTCCAGAATCAGTGCTTTTCAGCACATCTAAATATATTAAAATCCAATAAGTTTATTACCTTTGGTAAAACACACCGGATTAAAGGTTGGAAAGGAACAAATCGCTTTTAAAATGGAAACCTTTTCCACAGAACACACTACTCTCACATCTTAGATAACTTCCTCAATTACTTCTATTAAACAATTCCTTAAGTATATACAGGATTCCATATTGCCACCCTTGGTACAAAATTTGATGCAACATGCATGTGGTTAACTGCCTGTTTAATCAACTGTAACCCCCTGAGGAATTTTTCTGGTCCGGCAGAAAAAGGAAATGTCAGTGCACTCTCTTAAGAACAGTTGGTCTTTTTTATCACAAGTTTTGGTTTCTTGAGCACACATCCATATATTTTCCTCATGCTGTTCTGTTAACCAACATGCAGATTTCTCCACACTGTCAACTTGATTTTCATGTTCTTGCTAAAAAAACAAAAACGAAGTAAACCCAACACAAAAAATATCATCCATCTAAAGGTTTTCCTAGATAAACTAACGTCACCTCAGTGTTGCCATATACAGCAGACACTGCTGGATACAGACATGTCTTTGGCAGTCCTCGAAATGCAACTCCTAAGAACTCATAGCCTCTCTCAAAAGCCAAGGTCTTGTCTTCCATATCCAGGATAACACGAATTCTCTCACCTATCTGTAAACAGAAATATGAAATATTTAAACAGATGGCAAATGTCAAGAGACAAAACAACATATAAATACAGATATGCACTTTGAATATATGTTTAAAATAGTATTTTAACAGATATAGTATTATTTTAGTAGTATTTTAATTAGATACAGCCATTTTAATGTTGTACATAGGGCTCTGAATGATTACATTGGCTTATCTACAGATAAACATTTTGGGAATGAATTTCACTGAACAAGAGGGACTGAAATATATACATATTCAGAAAAATTTACTTAAATAAAATTCATTCAAAACATTGCCTAAGAATTCCTGAAGGCCCAGCTCATCACAATTTCAACAAAACTTTGGGTTGCAACCAACAGTGTTTTTCTGTTGGGCAAACAGTGCTTGTCAGTGGATTCTTCTTGTCCCTTTCTACCTCTATACAGACCCTCTGAATCTTTTCCAGAGTTAGGGTATCCCTTGAAGCAGATCTTCAGCATGCAAGAGAACGGAGCATGAGAAAATACGGAATTAAGCATGAGAGAATAGGAAAAATAAAGTCAACTGCAGAAGAAGTAATCTGTCAGTAGAACATTGATGTAGCTCTTTCACAACACACCGGATTTCACTCACTTGATATTTTGGGGCATTGTTGCACTGTGGAAAGCTGCCATTGACTTCTCCATTATGTAATAAATTATTGTCCACTAAATTCCAGCCCCAGCTCTGGTCATCACTCCCCAGGAGTGCTACATAACCTTGACATTGCATGGGAGCTCTTTTTGTAGCAATTCCAATTACTGCCACTGTGCCAAGAGGACCTTCCCACCAGACTTCCCAAGCATGACGGCCTTCACTGAAGCCAATCTTGGTCCTTGCTCCATCGGTACTCTGAGCAATGGGATTCCGGTGCAAAGTAAATCCATTCTTCTTAATATAAACATTTCTAGAACAATCATTGGTGCTGAAAGCATGCTGAAAGGCACGTACCTAAAAGGAAGGGTTTTAAAAAATAAAAAACGGAATTTGAGAAGAACTTTCAAACTAAATCAGACTGTTAATTATTTAAAAGCTTATATTCACTCTTTTTTTGTATCCCTGCAATAGAGATCAAGACTTAATACCTAAAGACTATCGCCACAAGGCAGAAAAAACATTCTGAATCACAAGTTGTGGATGTGAGATAAGAAACTAGAAACCATCTCCACAAAAAAGCCTAAATTTCCTAACTTGTCCAAACATTTATTAGTTGGTGACAAAACTCCATTTGGTGTTTGCTATATATGCACATTGATACAAACAGTCTAATCCACAACAGACTGCATTAGAAATATGTTTTAAATATCATATTGTTGTGAGCCACTTGCAAGTTTGCAGCGTCACTCTGAGAGTAACTAAAAATTCATCAGCACCAAATCACGTGCATCAACTAGTTCTCAGTGAAGTGTAGAAAACTCAAAGATGTGTTTACTCCATGACCACTCTGTAAAAAAATGACACAAAAATCAGTAAGTGTCACAATTCTACATCCTCAGTCTAACTCTAGGAGAGCAGGAGCCTGACTCAGCCTTTCAGAAACAGACAGACAAAGGAGAGAATAGGAATCATTGTACTGTGGCTCTCCTTCCCAGTTCTGCTAGTGGAGGACTTTTCCATTTGAGGCAGTACCTGGCTCATTTTCCTATTATTCTTTACTACATTTATTTTAATTATTTACAACATTTTTACTCAGTTCTTCAGAAACAGATTGCCAGAGTGGTTTATATAACATCATTAAAACAAGGCAGTCTTTTTGCAAGTATATGACCTGCGAAAGGAAGAAGATAAGGAAGAAGGGCTCAAAGTCTCAGTTCTTCCAGCAGCTCCTTCTGCTTCGGTATTATGGAATTTGCTGCCTAAGCTTAACACAGTGCCACAATGTCTAACAGGAAAGGTATCTAGGCCACATCTACACAGCATGTGGATAATGAATGCTACCCCACCACTGGGATGCAATGCCCAGCAAAAGAGGAAAGCGGGCGAAACAGTGATAACTCTAGAATCACGGCTTGAACAAAGTAACATACCAGAGTACCCTTGAGCAAGTGCGGGGATCTCCTCTCCTTCCTTACAAATAGTACCCATGATCTTAGCCCACCCTTAAACATCTGAAGCAACTGCGAGGCATGACTCCGATGCTGACCCCATCCTCAGCACCTGAAATGCTGGAAATGGAGCCGGGAAGCTGCACTGGACTTGACCAAGAGCGGACTGGTGAGACGAGCTGCCTCTTCGGGCCCCCCTCTTTCCCCACCTTCAGTGTGCCTGCGCACGAACACGGAACGGAGCGCGCTGAAGCGTCGCCCTACAGGCTCGCCTGACCTTGCCCTTGTAGGTGGGCACGTTGCAGAGGATGTCGGTGCGTAGCGCCTCCTCGGCGAGGCTGCGAGCCGCCAGGCTGCGCCACACCTCGCTGTTCTCGTCGCCGTGTAAGACGCGGTACCACAGCTTACACACCAACGCGCAGCTCCGTAGCTCCCGGAGGTCCAAGTAGGAGAAGACAAACTCGAGTACCCTGCCGGGAAGCCGCCAAGCCCCCGCTGCGGCGGCCGCGTTCGGCGCTCCGCCGCCGCCGCCGGCGGCAGCACCCCCCGCCCCTAC